CCTAATCAATATTTTTACTTAAAGATGAAGTACTTAAAATCTCTTCAATCATAGTGTCTCTTTGCCATAATTTTTTAAAGTAGACATTGATTAAAACTTTTTAGAGTTTCTAAAAGTAGAATGGGAGGCAGAGCTTTCAGTTATCAGCTCCTCTCTTGTSGAACCAACTTCCAGTTTCTGTCCATGAGGCTGACACTCTGTCTACTTTTAAGATTAGACTGAAGACTTTCCTTTTTTGATAAATCCTATAGTTAGACTTAGGGTTTCTGACTTAAAGCCTTAGTTTTGCTACTATAGACTTAGACTGTTGGAGGACAAACAGCACATTTCCTCACTCTGCTGTTGTCTTTAGTCTCTAAGCCCCTGACTGAAATTCATTTGCAGCTATTTTCACACAAATTTTCGTCACAATACGGAAGGCAGGCATTTGTCTAGCGCGTCAAGCTGAAGGTGGTCCCCAAGAACGGTTCTGAAGTGGTCAAATGCAACAACCATATGAAACATAGGGCACTGAAATTACTCATGTACTTGCACTCCCCCCCCCCCCCCCAAGGTGCCCCGTGTGCTGCAGTTTCATGTCATCTCTACTAAATTTTAGGACATGATATAGGCTATTGTTAGTGTGTTCAGAGACCATATTTCTTGTGATAAATGAATATAAAAAATCTAAGAGCTGTCATAAATACAGTATATTATTAAACTATTTAATGCCATATTTGGCCTAACCATTAAAAACAGATGAAATAAGAAATATGAAACAAGTAAAATACATCTAAAACATACAGAATTTTTAAAATAGAATTTTGGGATAAAATGTTGTGACCCCTGTGTATGTTTCGTATCACCATGTTCTTGCCAACACACAGCCCTAATTGAGTAACCAGGAGCACAATGAAACAGGTTTCCCTGCAACCTTACACTCTACCACTTTATGAGTCTGATTTCTAAAAGGGTGAACAAATGATCGAATAGAAAACTCTGATCTGGTGCACCCAGCAGAAACAGTAACACCCTTCTGTTAATCCCCTCATTTCTTGTTACAAAAAAAAAAAAAAACAACACCCAAAAAACACGTTCCGACGTGTTTTTTTTACTTTTTACTCAGGAAAATGTCCCATTATCGTGTGTCAAACATATGGCCCTTGGGTCAGATCCTTCAACTATTTTGTTGTGTAAAAAGCAACATGAATATCAAATGAGASAGATGGATGTTTAACCTTTTCTTTAGAGTTTTTAATAGTTGGTTTTATGGAATGTGATCAAATTTATTAATTCAAATAAGGACAAATGCTAAATAAATGCTGAGGATGTGTGTGTGTGTGTGGGGGGGGGGTGGTTATATTTTTTATTTCAGAATTTGTTCCATATTATATGTAATTATAGAAAAAAGCACTTTATGGTTCTATGTGGAGAATTATTACATACAAAACAACATTTTATACCAAATTTGATTGAAATCAGCCCTTAGTTTGGACTAAGATTTTTTTTTTTTTAATTCTGGCCCCCTTCAGTAACTGAGTCTGACACCCCTAATTTACCCAAAGAGCAAGATTGCAAATTATGATTCAGCCAATTATGAGAGGACACTTCTTTGTATTTTCAACTTCTAGCTTCCTCTCCTGTCTATAGTTTTAACAAACTGCTGATGAAGATGATGCTGAGGCTGCTGAAGGTATCAGTCCACCAGGAGCTGAGAAACTTTGAATTGATACAGGCACTGATCAGGCAGTCCAAGCAAATATTCATTCACACAATAACACAGATGTAAAAAAAAAAAGGGCATATCAAACAATGTCATACAAATGTGTTGGAATTTATTATTAGCTAAAGAAGCACTGTTTTCCATCAGTATGTTTATTTCATAAACAGCTCCCAGTTTCTAGCAATAACCTGGATGAAGACTTTTGCCCTCTTTCACATTACACTGTGCTCTATAACTGAAGTCACTTCTACTTTATTTTTACAGCACTTTACACAGCTCCAACAAAGTGCTGGACATGCAAAATCAATTACACCTAAAGCATAAACGAGAATAAAAACAATTAGAATTACAAGATCAATAAAACCAATGTAAATTAAACAAGAGCAAAAATCCAAAATACACAGATGTGTTTTTAAATGTTTTAAATTAAACAGTGAAGGGCTCTTTGGATACAAAATGGAAAATCTTTCTATAATCTCAGAGTAATAACACCAAAAGCTCTCTGTGTTTTAATTGTATTTTCTATTTTTTGTCAAACATTCTCACTCCCATCTCGTCACAAAGACACTTGGCCAGGTTTCCCTCTGCGTCAGGTTCTGATGCGTCGGGTACGCCCCTCGCATCAGTTGTTGATGCACCAGATAGGGTCTTTGGGTTGGGGTCCGTGGTTAGGATTAGAGATCAGGATTACTGGTTAGGTTTGGGTAGTAAGGTCAGGGATTGGATGTTTATACTGCCAAAAATGTCTACCTAACCAAGTTTTAAAATATTATATGCAGCCAAAAAGTCTTTTTGATCTTGTTTTGAGACTGATTTACTAAACAAGAACTGATTGTGTAAGAATAATAATCTTGTCAGAATGTGTAAGATTATTTGTCTTGGTAGTCTGAAAATTTTACTTGGTAAGATACTTGAAATAAGAAAAAATTGAGTCAAATCAAGTATTTC